CTGAACTGACCCGCTGAGGTTCATCCTCAGTAACGCTGAACTGACCTGCTGAGGTTTATCCTCAGTAACACTGAACTCTCTCTGTCTTTCTTGAAGCCCTTCAATCATTCCCATAAAGTGGCCAAGTTCTGCTACGCTGATAAGGTGAGTTCTGTTGGTTCTGAGGAGGTTCAACAAACGTTTCCTTTATGTTATTGAAGGCTTTTATTTCTTTGCTGCTGATTGCAGCAACAACTGAAGTTGATTATGAGTTTTACTGTTTCACCGGATTCTGGATCCAGACAGGAGGACCGGTTCTGGTCGGGGTCATCTCATGTTCTGGTCTTTTTGTCTTGGTTTTGTGATGTTTTGCCTCCTTGGGCTCATTTTGTCTTGTTTTTGTTTTATGAGTCTCAGGGACAGTTTGTGTAACACAGTTCTGAGACTTGTGTTCCGGTTACGGTAAGAAGAACCAGAACCAGGTCCTTCCAGGTGACCAGACGGACAGCAGAGGACTAGTTCTAGTTAATAACATCTCTGGTGCAATCGATTCAGGAGCTGATCAATAAAGCCATCGAGGCGTCAGTGGCAGCGAGGAGAGAGTGGGACCTTAAACCTGTCCAGGACCGAGCTCAGGTTCTGTTCAAAGCAGCCGACGCCATCAGTGGACCGAAGAGGGCCGAGGTCCTGGCCAAGACCATGATTGGACAGGTAGGACATACCTGGTTAATGTCAGACAGTCAGACAGTCAGACGGGTTAATGACAGACAGACAGACAGACAGACGGGTCCAGACCTCCTCTCTGTGTTCAGGGGAAGACGGTTGTCCAGGCGGAGATCGACGCCGCCGCTGAGCTCATCGACTTCTTCCGCTTCAACGCCAAACACGCGATGGAGCTGCAGCAGCAGCAGCCGCTGGACGCCGCCGGCAGCAGCAACACCATGCTGTACCGCGGCCTGGAGGTAGGACTCATGCTGAGGAGGAGGCCCGCCCTCACCTGTGCAGGTGTCCTGGTCACATGGTCGTGGAGGATTGTGGGTATTAAAGACAGGCTTTGGGTTTGTTGCAGGGTTTCGTCGCAGCTGTGGCTCCGTTTAACTTCACTGCGATCGGAGGAAACCTGGCAGGAACTCCGGCTGTGATGGTGAGAACCGAGCAGAACCACAGAACAAACACACCATGATCGCTGATCGTCTGAACACAAACATCTGCAGGAGCTCAAGATGTCTTTAAAACATCAGCCAGAACCTTTAGAACAGAACAGAATCCTGTCCAGATTAGACTGGTAGTAACTGTGGGGCTGCTCGGGTCTGGCAGGGGAACGTGGTTCTGTGGAAGCCCAGCGACACCGCCATGTCTGCCAGCTACGCTGTCTACAGAGTCCTGAGGGAGTCCGGTCTGCCGCCCAACATCATCCAGTTCCTCCCGGCCGATGGCCCAGTGTTCGGAGACACTGTCACCTCTTCGGAGCACCTGGCCGGCATCAACTTCACCGGCAGCGTTCCGTAAGAACCGGGTCACACACCGCAGCATGTCTTTATTCTGACGTGTTTGTTGATGCTGCTGTGACTCTGTGTCTGCAGGACGTTCAAGCGTCTGTGGAAGCAGGTCGCCCAGAATCTGGACACCTACAGAACCTTCCCTCGACTGGCAGGAGGTGAGATCCAGATGTGCAGGTCCAAACCCGCCTCAGCTGTGTTCAGGGTTCTGCTCCATTTCCTCAGATGTGCTGTAAACTGTATTCATACTTTTCTTTTTGAATCTGCTTCAGCAGGTTTTTATTCTCAACTGAAATTTGAGGCTGTTCTGTTCTGGTTCTGTTCTGTTTGAAGGTCTGGTTCTGTTCTGCTGCTTTTGTCTCCTCCAGAGCAGCCTAAGGGCTTTGAGAACAGGGAACTGTGTGGAGAACCGGGTTAAAGTGTTCTACCTGTTTAGTTTGTGTTCTGGTGACCTGCAGCCACATCTGGTTCAGAAAACATCTGGAGTCCACTTCTGCTTCATCAAGTGTTTTGTTGATTTGTTCTCAAACATGGACCTTCTCACACCTGTCCAGTGTTGCAGGTTCTGATCAGTGAGGAAACCTCCAGGTTTTTGTCTCACATGTTGCTGTACTGGGTCCAGTAGTTAAAAGTCAAGCTGTCGTGTCGCTGTGGTTCCTCAGAATGCGGCGGGAAGAACTTCCACTTCGTCCACTCGTCAGCCGACGTCCAGAGCGTCGTCATGGGAACCATCCGGTCAGCCTTCGAGTTCGGGGGTCAGAAATGTTCGGCCTGCTCCAGGATGTACGTCCCCGAAACTCTGTGGCCTCAAATCAGACAGAAGATGGTGGACGTCCTCAAAAGCGCCAGAGTGGGAGACGTGAGTAGACAGACGGGTCACAGACGGGTCACAGACTGACGGATCAGACAGACAGACGAGTCACAGACGGGTCACAGACGGGTCACAGAC